AATGCTTTCAGCGTTTGCCAAGCTGTCCGAGTTGAATGTTTCCAAGAGTATCAGCAGTTGCCTTTTCTGTGCATGTTTGTGCGCTGCTGCTGGCTCGGCATGCTTTTGCGGCAGTGGGGAGGTGGGAACCTTGGAGTACCCGACGAGATCAAGGGCTTTGCCACGTTAATTAGAGAGTGCAACGGGGGCGACCTGATGCCGCTGCACCAGATAGAGGCTGTAAAGGAGTTCGTCAACAATCATATGAATTCGATATCTAGAGACTTGGACGCCTTTGAAGTGCTCCCCTCAGTGAGCCTGGTTGCATAGCGACTAGCGGTGGGAGATAAAGATGTTGATGATGATGATGCTGACGATGATGGTGCTGATGATAAGTATGGTGATGCTGATGCTGATGCTAATGATGCTGGTGATGATGAGTATGCTTATTACTAGTGTGATGATGAAAATGATGATGCTGATGAGGATGATTTCTCCAGGTATTTCAGCAACACTGGAGAAAACCTCATTAGTCTCATCATCACCCCCAACATCATCACCATCATCATCAGCATCGTCATCATCATCAGTAGCATCATCATCATCATCATCAGCATCATCATCATCATCATCATCATCAGCATCATCATCATCATCATCATCATCATCATCATCACCACCATCAGCATCATCATCATCATCATCATCATCATCATCAGCATCATCAGCACTGCGGGTGGAGCGGGGGGAGCAGGAGGAACCAGAACGGGCACTGGCCACTAGCACGCATCATTATGATTCGATCGGGGTCTGTTGGTGGCAGCCTTGTAAGGTTAGGAACGATTGAAACAGATGAGAAAGAGAGGAACCCTAATTTGTTGAACCGTGATCGGGGCCTTGAATCAGACGAGCCTTACATTCGTTTGGTAATCGATTGTGGCCATTGCTAGTTTCACGATTGGTAAAACAATAGTTCGACTAAGGTATGTTCAGGGTGTGGCCTTCAATCACAAGTTTTTCGTGAGGCAGGCGAGAACACCATGGAGTTCGACAAATACACACGCCACATCGAGGAAGATCTCACGAGCCTCGAGGGGCAACTACATGCATGTTTTACTGCGCTGCGCCTGAAGGAGGGCGGCATACTTACCGTGGCGGTGGCCAGCCGCTGGGCGGGGGAGGTGAACGCGAGCGCGGCCAGGAAGAGTTACAGCTGGGTTGATGTTATCGGAGCAGCAGCTGAGAGGAGAGACAAGGGTGTAGATTCTGATGATTCGTGTCCCCTCTTCCTTCTCCTCCTCCTCCCTCTCCTTATCCCTCCGCCTCCTCCTCCTCTTCCTCCTCCTCCTCCTCCTCCTTCTCCGCCTCCTCCTCGCTCCCCTCATCTGGTACCTCCTTCTCCTCAACCTCCTCCTCACCCCCCCCTCACCTTTCTGGGCTCTCCCCTTCATGCTCGCTCACCCGTCGCCACGTTGAACGCCCGCAGTTGGAGTGCCGCAGCTGGCTACGGTTCATCAACGCTACAGGGCACAAGCGGGATATGTACAACATATTCGGTGATGAGGATCGGCGGGGCAGCACTTGCGGCGATGATGATGCATCTGTACGATGGGAGCGTATACAAGCGCAGAAGTAGGATGAGGCGGGATGTGATAGGTGGAGGGTGAGCTCCACATGGATGACTGGACGTTGCATCGTGACGTTCGGGGTTCTGCGTGTCTGGAGCAATTGGGGAAAGCAGGGACACCTGACAGATTATACGATAGCGTTCGGTGGGAGAGGAGGAGGAGGAGGAGGAGGAAGAGGAGGAGGAGGAGGAGGAGGAGGCGCAGGAGGAGGAGGAGGAGGGGGATACGGCGGAGGAGGAGCTGGGTGAGGCGAATGCTATTAAGGAGGGGGGGGCAGGGCGCAACGAAATTCAAATTGGTCGGGCAGGAGTGCCCGAAGGTGGTCTCTGCGAACATCCAGCTCCAATTTGTGGCTTATCTTGCAACTTTAGTGCACGTCAGACGGGTATGGTTTGTGTTTGAGAAGCCTCTTCAGAGCAGAATGGATGAGCATCCGACAATGCAGACTGTGATGGCGCTACTGGGCGCAAGCACTATTCTTACATACATGGGGGCATTCCAGCCCGACCCACCTATCCCGAAAGCGTGCCATCTCATAACTACGCTACCATCCACCGTCCACAAGTTGCTCTCAAAAAAGCGCCCGCAGTGCAGCTCGAAGAAAAGTGATAAGGACAGGTTCCATACGAAAGACACTGCAGGGTGGATTATCGGTGGCAAGGACAGATTTGTGCTCCTTCTTTGGGGCAGGGCAGGGGGATTGGGACTGGGGAGAAGCGTGCAATCTCCACTGCAAAGGTCGAGAGGAAGGTGGGACACCAAACAACCTGGGTGCAGGGATCGAGGGGATTAGGCAGGGAGGGCGCCATATGGAGCTGGATGATTGTGAACCCCTGCGTGATTCACTAATACAGCTTGTCGAGCCATCGCCCTTTTCATCCACCAATCCTCCTGCTAGTCTCCTTGTCACCCAAACTCCACATGCCTCCTCCATCCATGGAGCTGGGGGCGCCGCGCGAGGAGCTTGGGCTCACAGAGCATTATCCGAGGGGGTACTGCGAGGCGCTGTGGGCAGCGTGGAAGGCTGCGCAGGATGGCAAGTTCATGGATCGAGTCAATTTCTTGATGAGCGATGGGCAGCTGATGAGGAAAAAGGCGAGGATGACAGCACTTTTAGAGAGGGATTTAGAGGCTGAGAAGCAGGCGAGGAGGGCAAAGAGGGCAAAGACAAGGGCGGCATCATCCAACATGCGCACGATTCACGATTACTGCAGCAAGGCGTTGTTCCATCCACTCCATCTCTGCCTCATCCTGCTCCTCCTCTGCTTTTCCTCTTCCCCCACTGATCACCATCCCGTCCTCCCCCTCACCCTCGCCCTCGTACATCCCACCTCCACCCTCTTTTCCTCGTCATATTCTCCCGCTGTCCTCCCCATTTTGCCTCCTCTCTTCCCCCTGTTCTTCAAAGGTTGAAGAGTTCATTGCACTTCATTGGACTTCATCGCATAGTTCATTGCGTGTGTTCGCCCATCACCTCTCACCGACAGTCGCCCTGGAGGGCCCTTCACCACAGTCAACCAGCATAGTAAGGATGAGCGACTTTCCAAAGTTATCCCCTTGCATCCTTCACCTTCGGCGCATCCGTGGCCGCTTTGACCTGCTGTTCCCCGCTCTCAAAGTGTCGTTGTCTTCCAAGGCCATTGCATCCTTCCCGAGCATCCTTACTATTATGGGTTGACTGTATCCGTATCCTCATCCTCCCCCTCCTTGGCAAGGCCGACGTGCAGGATGACAAGTGATGGCTGCTGCGACCCTCCCTCCTTCGCCCCATCTTCTATATTACTGAGATCTCGAAATGCTCGAAGATACCCAGCTGCCCTCCGACCCGTTCGGGACCTCCCCTGCAGCCCCTGCCGCGTGCCCTGTGCCCCCTGCAGCGTGCCCCCGTCGCCTTGCAGCGCATTGCGGTCGCGCACCCCTGGGAGAAGCTTGCGTGGAAACGCGAGCGCTTCGCGATTGGCGCGGCGTTTGAAAGCGGAAGAGAGGAAGGAGAGGGATAGAGGGGAGGGGTATCCATTTCCCTGGTTTACATGCCCATGTTCCCTTCCCTTGCTAGCGATACTGATGCTTTCCCTGCCAGTGCCTCCTTTCCTTGAACGCGGGCCTAGCAGAGGCCCGAACGCGGTTACGGAACCTGCACCTAGCATCAGCTTCGCTAGCAAAGAAAAGGAACATGGGCATGAGGATCAGGGAGATGGATCATGGGCAGGGCTGGGCGGAGGCACGGAGGGCGGCCACCCCGAACCAGCCCATCTAGAAACGACGTCGACTTGACACCGAAGACTATCGCTGGTGGAAGGCGGTGTGGTCTCGATCTGTAGCTCGTGCCAGGCGCTCGCTGCGTCTCTCTGTCTTGTTGTTATTCTCTCTCTCTCTCTCTCTCTCTCTAACTCTAGGCTCCGCCCCTGGAGGAAGAGGAGCAGGAGAAGGAAGCGGAGTAGGAGGAGGAAGAGTAGGAGGATAGAGAGGAGGGGAGGAGGAGGAGGTGGAGGAGGAGGACGATGAGGAGGAGAACGAGGAAGAAAACGAGGAGGAGAAAAAGGATGGAGCGGAAGAGCCCGAGCAGACCGAGCAGTGAGCAGCCGAGAGACGGAGCCAGAAATCATGGCCAGCTCGGAATTTGGGCCAGTCCGAGAAGGAGAGGGCGACGAAAAAAAAGAGGGGACAGGCAGACAGACAGAAACGGAAAAGGGGGAGGGAATGGAAGGGCGGGAGGGGAGGATGGAGGAGCGATGAAATTAAGCAAGGACGGGGGACGGACGAAACAACGGGAGGGAAAGAAAAATACAACGAGGAAAAGGGGAAAGGGAGGGGAAAGAGGGGAAGGCAGGCGCCTGCTCCTCCTCCTCCTCCTCCTCCTCGTCCTCGTCGTCCTCGTCGTCCTCGTCGTCCTCCTCCTCCTCTTTCTCCTCCTCCTCCTCCTCCTCCTACTCCTCCTCCTCCCTCCTCCTCCTCCGCCTCCTCCTCCTTTTCCTGTTTCCTCCTCATCCTCCTCCTCCTCCTCCTCCTCTCAACCCTCCTTTTCTCTTACCTCTGCTCATATCTCCACCCGCCTCCTCTTTCTCCTCCTCCTCCTCCTCCTCCTCCTCCTCCTCCTCCTCCTCCTCCTCTTCCTCTTCCTTCCTCCTCCTCCTCCTCATGTTCCTCTTCCTCTTCCTCTTCGTCCTCCTCCTCCTCCTCCTCCTCCCCCTTGTGTTTTTTTTTTTGCGGTTCAAGGGCTTGACTCATGGCCCAGCTTTGGGAGTGGCCTGGGGGCCCCCCCTCCCCCTTCCCCCCCTCGGCGGATGTGGTGGTCCTCCCTGGGCCGCCTCCTGGGCTCGACCCAGTGGTGCCCTGGGAGGCCCCCGTCGCGCCTGTGGGCGAGGGGGAGCGGGCGCCACGGTGGGCTCCCAGGGGGTACCTGTTCCCGCGGGCCCCGCGGGATCGCCTGCCCGTGTGGGTGTGGCGGGCGTCCCAAAGGGCGCCGCTCCACCGCGTGCACATCACGCGGTGGTACAGGTGGCTGCAGGAGCCCGCCGCCGCCGTGCTCGAGTGGTTCGACGACCTCGGGCGCCTCAGGGCGAACCCTGATCTTTTGCAGAGCATTCGCTAGCAGATCGCAGCATCTAGTGCTGTTTGCAGCATGTGCTGCTATGCTAGCACAGCATATCATAGCACGGGCGCGCGCCGCACCCTGTAGGTACCACTTCGCGTGGTTCGACACCCGCTACGAGGGCGACGACCGCTTCGTCCTTTGCGCCAGGCCAGTTCGCTGAGGCGCGGGGGACCGATCGGGCACGTTCCCACTTTCTCCTCCTACTCTTCCGCCTCTCCTCCTCCACCTCCTCCTCCTCGCCGCTTGGCTCAACTGCGCGATCAATAGTTTGGTAGCGGAGCCCCAGCTATAGCCCGCGTGATTTCGCAACCTCGTTGAATTCGAAAACGAGCTCGTCGAATCCAAAAACTCTTCATTCACCTCTCTCCCTCCTTTCCTCTCGTCATCTCCTCCTCCTCCTCCTCCTCCTCCTCCTCCTCCTCCTCCTCCTCCCCTATATAGGTGTATATACTGTATACGATTATGTATGTATGTATGCATGTATACACATACATATATATATATATATATATATATATATACAACATACGCGCGTATGCATGTTATATGCGTGCATATAAATGATATGAATATACAAACATAACTAACATATCTATGTACGTAAATATATACACAAATTTCCATATGTTTGTATACATATATACATATAAATACATACACATACAATATATATATATATATAAAGACATAAATGCCGTGGGACTCCCGTGGGCCACTCTCTTGGCCAAATTTCATGGCGCCTCTCCCCCTCCCTCTCTCTCTCTCTCTCCCGTTCTCTCTGTATATCTTTCTCTCTCTTCTATTCCGTGCTCCGTATATCCATCTCTCTCTCTCCCTCTCTCTCTCTCTCTCTCTCTCTCTCTCTCTCTCTCTCTCTCGGCCGCTGACGATTATTTTTTATCCGCGGTCCTCGCCAGACAGGTTCCCCCCCCTGTCCTCTCGGCCGATGGCGATTATTTACACATGCGGCCCCCTCTAGCGCACAGGCAGGTTCTCACCAGACGTGGCCCTTCAACCTGGCCATGGCGACGGCCGAGCCGAGCTCGAGAAACATATCTGGACAGCTGGCGCGCCTGTAGCGCCACGCCCAGAAGTGCACCCAGTTCTCGAGCTGCGCCTGCGACTCCTTGCTGTACGTGTTCATCGTGGTTGGGACGACGTTCTTCACGTGCGACCACAGCCCGTCCTGGAGCTGCGTCCCGCCGTAGCAGCACAGGACGTCGCCCCCGCTCAGGGTCAGCGTCTTGACAGTCGCCCAGATGCGCTTGGCGTGCTTGACCTTCGTGTGGTTCTCGAGGCGGCGGTAGCACCGCGCTCCGTCTGTGTGCCAGATCAGCACGTCGGCCCCCGTGTGAGCTGAGATCAGCGGCGCGGTCTCATCCGTGCTCTCGGGGCGCGTCGGGCCGCCACGGACCGCATAGAAGGGCGGCAGCATGTGCACGACGGCGTGTTCGTGGTCTCCGCGCTTGCACATGCCGAACACGCGGATGTGCATGTTGCGCCCGTTCTTGAGCTGGACGACCCGCAGGGTCGTGGCGTCGGTCTCGCACTGGCCGCTCAGCACGATCGACTTCTGCTCTTCCCTCGAAGCAGCCGAGACGATCTCCAGCAAACTCTGCCTGACCGCCTCGCACTGCTTGTGGCCCATCTTGGCAATCAGCGCCATGTCGGCTGTACTCATGCGGGACGTCAGGGCGCCGCGCGACAGGAAGGCGACGCCCGCCAGCTTCGGGAGAGGCACTTCCACGTCCGCCCACGTGCCGCTCGTGACCTTCACCTGCACCGAGGACGACGAGCAGGCCTTGCGCTGACACCTCTGGACTGGATGCCGCTTCTCGCCCCTGTGAATCACCGAACCCAATGGCCATCCGCACCTGGGGCAAACGTTCTCGGAGGGGTCGCCGAGGTACCCCGCCTGGACCATCAAGTCGTAAGCATCCTTGGTCTTCAGAGCCCTGAGGTCCTCGTACGTGTAGATCTTGGCTAAGGAAGACCTGCCGCGCCGCACGCGGGACACCCGCTGGCGCTTGGGCGTGTAGAACACGCCCGTGGCTTCCAAGCGCTTGCGTTTGGCCTGGGCCGCCTTGCGCGCCTTCCGCGCCCTGGCCAAAATGTCGCGGCGGCGCGAGGCGGCCTGCACCGACCGCTTGTTGCGACGCTTCTGGGGGAAGCGCTGCCCTCGCGTGCGGCTTCGACCCCTGGCCTCGGAGGCGGCGGGGCGACGGTGGGCGGTCATCCCTGGCTCCAGGCGCGATAGCACGGGCGAGGCAGTGCGCGAGAGGCGCGGGCGCCCGCGGCTCTGGCTGCCGATTCGGCCAAGAAACGGCTGCGGCGATGACAGCAACCATACCGGATGGACGGCGATGGCGGCGGCGGCGGCGACGACGACGACGTCTGCGGGGGCGGCTGGATTTCTTAGAACGGCAAAAGAAAATGGCATGATAACGCGCGGTACTTGTGGATAACCCTATCAAGACACAACATGTTGGCGGCGCGCGCCCCCAGCTCATCTGGGGCGCAGCGGCGCGCGCCACCTCGGCAGCGCGCGCGGCATCAGCGCCCGAGCTGAGGGTGCCATCGCTGCCCGCGAAACCCGCGCGCCGCACCTGCCCGCCCGCGCTCTCGCGGCCGCCCGCTCACTCCTGACTCTGAGAACCGAGGAAAGCGTGCGCCTCGTCCTCCTCCGCAGCCGAGGGCATCGCAGGCACAGCGGGCGCCCCCTCCTCGGCCAGCATCTGCGAGAGCTGGACCTCGAGATCGTCGCGGGGCGGGGCCGCGGGCCCAGATGCAGTGGACGACGCCGCGGCATGTTGCTTGGCGGGGGACGGGCTGTCGACATTGAGCGTCATCCCCGAGAGCAGGCGCTTCCGAAACGTCAGGCGCTCAGGGGACACGCGCTCTCGCTTCACCTGTCGGGAGGGGCTCAAAGATGATGTCCGCCAAGGCCGAGGCAGCGTTTCAGCGTTCAGAACGCGTTGAAGTGCTCCCTCAGCCCTAGGACCCCACCCCGCAGGGCCGCATCTTTGAACCCCCAAACCTGGACGAACGACGGGGCTGGCAAAGAACCGAGGGCCGCGTCTGAGGACTTCTTGCGGTTCTTCTCCACGGCGGAGTCCACGAGGAGCCGCTCCTTCTCCAAGAGCTGCTGGATATTGGCGGGCGGGGTCATGTCGCCGTCCTTCTGCAGTAGGTACAGGCGCTTCCCCTCGGCCGTCAGGAAGGTCTCGCCCTTGAAGTTAATGCGCGGAACATCTTTCTCCTCAGTGCCTGCTGGGCGCCAGTAGAGGTATTCCTGGGTATTCACCAGAAACGCAGAACGCTTGAAGAAAGCCAGCATGCATGCGCGGGTCGCCTTCTCGGAGAAGGCAGGGCGCACGAGCTCGAAGAATTCCTGGAACTTCACGGAGGGCCAGCGGTCCAGCTTCTCGGCATTCGGATCGTAAGTCTGGTCCGCCAAGCACCGAGGCTCCCCCTTCTTCCGTTTCGTTGCGCCCCACCTGGCCCAGCACATGCTCTCGTGCTGGCCGACGTCGAGCAAGGCCTTCACCATCTTGGGCGGGAGGAGATTCAAGCAGCCATCGTCCACAAAGTCCCCCATGAGAATGTCGCCGGGCTCGCCTCGCAAGAAATCGATCTCAGGCGTGACGCGGATGCAACAACCCGCGGGGTCCAATCCGTGGACCCGCGCGTTCCTGCGGCACATTGCCATCAGGAATGCGCGCCCGAGCGGCGTCTTGCCGATGTTGGGCTCCCCAATGAGGACAGGCGAATCGTTGCTGTTGATCAGCTCCTGCATGGCTTCGAGAACGCGAAGGTTGAAGTGGTCCTCGCAGAGGATCACGTTGTTTTCGAACTCCTTCTTTGCAAGCGCGCCCTCCGCCGCGAGCCCGCTCAACGCCTTCGCCACCAGGGGGGCGGGCCAGCCGTAGAGGGGGGCGCCTTTGCGTAGCGCCTTCGTCTGCCATACCAGCTGCTTGAGCTCGGCCGTGGAGCGAGGCGCGTTCTTCAGGATGTATTCGAAGCCAGCGTTTATATCCTCGTCCGAGAGCTCGTAGAACTCGTTCACCTTGGTGGCCGTCTTGACGTCTGGCGATAAGAAGAAAGCCCGACACTGTTTGCCTCCGAACCGCTCGAAGGCGTATTGCCAGACCTTGACCCCCACCTGGCGGCGCGATCGAAAAAACAAAATGGCGAGGGCGCCGCGCCCTCGCCACCCTTTTGTTTCCCCAATCGTGCACCTTGGGATGCTGGAAGCAGAGCTTCTTGACGCTCCCGAAAGCCATGCTGGCGAAGACGGCCGTCTTCGCCTTGTTGGGGATGACGCAGTGTTTGATTATGGTCTTCGTGCCGTCGGGGGCGTCAAGGATACAAATCTGCAGCGTCATGTGGTGTTGCGGCGCCGTCTTGAACCCGAACGGTGGCGGCAGATTGTGGTAGCTGTCGTCCTTCCAGGCCGCCTTGTATTGCTCGTCGAGCTCGGGGGGGACTGGGTCTCTATGCCCCGTGATGAAATCAATGTAGTGCACCAGTGGGTTCTCGTTGGCCCCGATGTCGTCCGTGAGTTCGAGAAAAGGCTCGATTTCTCCACGGGGCAGCACGCCCGTTACCATTGGTGCAGGAAGAGGGCGGCAATACCAGCCCTCGGTCGCCGATTTCAGGTCCTCGTAAGCGGCCATGCCGCGGTCTTGAATGACGCTGAGGGTTTGCCAGAAGGCGCACGCTCGGCGTTGCGATTGGGCCCAAACAGCTACGAGCAGCGAGGGGGGTCAGGAAACGCTGGGTTCCTCCAAGATTCCTGGATTCCTGGATTACTCCTGTGTTCCTGGGTTTCTCCTGGGTTCCTGGGTTCCTGGGTTCCTCCTGGGTTCCTAGGTTCCTGGGTTCCTCGGTTCCTCCTGGGTTCCTGGATTCCTCCTGGGTTCCTGGGTTCCTCCTGGGTTCCTGGGTTCCTCCTGCGTTTCTCTTGGTTTCTTGGGTTCCTCCAAGGTTCCTGGATT